TATTACCTGTGGGATATAGAAATCTTTGCATTTAGGGCCAGCTTATTTCCTCTTTACAAACCATTTTCTTTTCTTGAAACAGGTCACTTCTTTTGCTCTCATTTTACATGGTTTGGATAAAAGTGACTTTTACCTTCAAGATCCAGAAATATACTTATTGCTTGCATTCAGTCAATATATCACGATCCTCTGGCTACAGTGTTTGGCTCCTAAACACATGACACTCAGGCCCATGCAACTTAGGTGGCAAAGAGGTACCTGGATAAGGAAATCTTTCTCTTTTAAGACGTGAAACTTATAACATGTGTACTTTGTAACTGCTAGAGCTCTTTTAAACAGAGAGGAAAGATCCTGCTTGATAATAGTACTCATAGTGAGTAGAGAAGAGTGAGAAAGACAAAGAGAGAGAGAGAGAGAGGGAGAGAGAGAAAAAACAGAATCTCCTGGGGCACTCTTTCAATTTCTGACTAAATAACTTCTGAAACGTGTAGTCACATAAACCAAAAGAGAATCCTTGTGTTCCAGAAGTTGAATCAATTTCTCTCTCTCTCTCTCTCTCTCTCTCTCTCTCTCTCTCTCTCTCTCTCTCTCTGTCAAGGCATGTACAACTTTTCTGAAAAGATTGCTACATTTCCCCCAGATCCAGCATGGAGCAAAGTTTAGATGCCCATTGTCTGTGAATTTAGAATTCTATCTTCCATTTAATAATCTCTTTGCTTTTCCAAAAGAACTCTTTCTCTGTAAACTCCAACAGCACTCTCTGTCATTATCTTTTCTGTTGGCATAGAGCCCAGGGATACTTGCTGACTTCCTCCTAGAAGGAAGAAAAATATATTTTAAAATGTATACTTCATATAGTTCACCCACAACCGTGCTAAACCCATCAGTACATGGATCCAGTAATCACACACCCATAGTCTCGGCACTCTCAACACTCCTTGTTTCAACCTCCTATTAAGACAATTTTGTTTTTTGCTTTTTGTTTTGTTTTGTTTTTTTTTTTTCCAGTACTGGGAATCGAACTCACGACCTTTGCTTACCAGGCAGGCGCTGTGCCGCTGAGCTAAATCCCCAGCCCCAAGACAATCTTTATTTTAAAAGACAAAAAAAGTATCGTGATATTGACACCCTCTATAAGACATCCAAGAAATAGATTCCAGGTCCTTGTGTATGATGAGCAAGGAATTGCAAGTGTACAACCAATGACAAAAGAAAAAGAATTTACATTTTTTGAAGATAACAAGAAGATGTGCTCAGATTCATGACAACAGAAGCAAAAAGGTAACACTAATGGAAACAGTGGTGGTAGGACAGCAGGGTAACGGGAAGTATGAAGATAAGTCGGGCTTTCAGATTTTAAAAGATGTGCACCTGAACTGGGTATCTGTCATGGATCTCTCTGGATAAAACTGACAGACATGATTGACAGGGTGGTGAGTCATCTCAGGAGCATCTTGGTAAGCATGACTTTCTCAGAGTTCATTCTCTTTTTGTTTTGCTTTGTTTTGTTTTGTTTTGTTTTGTTGGGCTTGTTCTTGTCTTGCCTTGTCTTGTCTTGTCTTGTTTTGTTTTGAGACAGGTCTCACTATTCCAGGCTGGTCTTGATCTAACTGCGTAGCCCAAGGCAGCCTCCATCTAATAGCAATCCTCTTGAGTGCTGAGATTATAGGTGTGGGCCACCACACCCAGCTAATCCTCTCTGATTTAATCACATAAAGGAATGCAACCCATTTGTATGAACCAAAGCATTTATGTGGGAGAAAATGCTACTGAAGATTAAGCCATGGGATATAACATATGTGTGGTCTTTGTTATTCTAATATCTGCTTCTCTTCCCAGACAAGGAAAGGAGTACTGACTCTGGTGTGTGGCCCAAATTCAGGTGGCTGGAGGGAGAGTGGTCTCACACACCCAATTTGCTATCTGTAATAATGTGTAATCACATATTTCTATAAGTTATGGTTATTTACTAATGTTCTTGGATGTCAGTCTGTGAACATTTTTGCTGAAATACAAAATTGAACACTTTCAGTGCATGAGGAATTTTATTGCGTCTGAGAAAGTCAACCTATGTGTTGATCATTTCATTGATCTGAGAAGGTCAACCTGTGGGTGATCCCCCATAGTTTATTGTGTCAACACTCAGCTCTTCAAATGCCTGTACCTTATCTCAAGACAAATGAGGATTATTACGGAAAGATTTCCAAGAAACAGGAATAACTAGTGATCATTTCCAATATAATGCAGATAATTTTATATAAGAAACCTACAAATATCTGGGAACATGTTCATGCTACAAGCCTCCTTTGGAAGATCTAACTACTTGAGTATAAGATCAAGTTAAACTTCTCAGGAGAGTGGAAGATGAAGCCAGATGACCTTGGAAGAATGGGAAACACTACCAACCTCTCTTCTCTTAGTTTTTAAGGGATGGTGTCTTAGTTACTTTGTCATTGCTGAGACAAAATATCTTTCACTCACAAGTTAAAGGAAGAAAAATATTTGTTTGTACTCATAATCTGTAGAGGTTTCATTCCATAGTTAGCTGGCTCTGAGGCAGGGAAGGGAGGCAGAGGGGCATGGCAGAAGAGAAACAGTCCTCGGCGAGATAGGCAGGAGTCACAAAGCAGCAAACCTACCTTTTTCTTTTCCTCTTATATTTCATCCAGGCTGTACAGCTATGGGTTGGGGCCATCCATACTCAGGTTGGGGCTTCCCTCTTGATAGTTCACCCACAACCATGGTAAACCAATCAGTACATGGATCCATTTATCACACACCCATAATCCACAAGACACACATCCATGACCCAGCCACCTTTGGAAATCCCAACCTTTGAGTGCATTCAGCTTTTTTTTTTTTTTTTTAAAGATAAAAGGGGAGAAACATTAACAGACGTACAACATTTTACAACATATCACGAGCACAGTACAGACAATACAGAGTTACAAACAACACAATTTGTAATTGAGAGCATTCAGCTTTGAGGGGACATCAAAATACAAGCCATAACAAATACGGTAACAAAATATCACAGATTAAGTAGCTTAATCAGCAAAAGTTTATTTTCTCATATCTTTTTCTCTGAAGTCTAGAAATCCAAGATCAAGATGTTGGCATGTTTTATTTCTTACAGGGTTATTTTCCTTGGCTGAAGATGACCATTTTCTCTGTCTGTCTTTACATGGTCCTTCTGTGATAGACATGTCAATATCCAAATTTGCTCTTATAAGGAGATCAATTGCATTGAATAAGGGCCCATCGTAAAGGCCTAACAGTAATTTAATTACTCCTTAAAGACCTTGTTGCTAATTATTGTTTCATTCTTTAATGAATCTAGAGATTAGGAGTTCTGCATATGCGTTTTGGGATGGGTACAGTTCAGTCCATTACACTGTCTTAGTCTGTTCTGTGCCCAATGATTATGACCAACATCATACCACAGTTCCTTTAGCAGCTTTTTATTATATTCACTACAGCTAATGTTAGAAACCAACAATTCTGGAAATGAAGATGTAGTCACTCTTTCTGCTTCTAACATTTGCTGACTGGTCATACTTTACACCCTTCCATCCTCAGTCAATTTCATCACATTTAGTACTGACACATTGCTATTCAAGCTTCTTTAATACTTTGTATCTAGATAAGTTCAAATTATTATACACTTAAAATGAAATTTTCTATGATAATATGCAAGTAGTGGCATTATTTTTTTGTTATTAAGCTGCAATAAGTGGAAAAATAATGGAAAACCAAGTGACGACTTTTTCTGGAGTGAATCTCTTTGCCGAATACATGTTCTATTAGCCTTTCTGGTGGCTTCTGGGATTACTGCATTTCTGATGTCTCCAATAGCACACTACTAACCTTGAAGGGAATGCTTGTCAATCTAACACTGATTCTTTAATGGCAGGTGTCACTTCAATATTATGTTCCTGAATACATTTCTCTTCTTGGAATTTATGAAGTACCTTTAATAAAGCACAGTGAAAGGGATACTTAACTAACTGTGAGTTATGAAAACATATAAGAAAAGTGGAACATGTATTTCTCACAGGAGTGACATGAACAGAGTTTCATGATTGAGCACAGATTTCTCTGCATATGATTCAGTCCATAGTCCTGTGTTTTAAATTAGACTGCATTCTTTAGGAAAAGGAAATCATTTTTTTTCACATTTTCTGATTCTTTAATATGCATTCTTTCCCTTTTCCCTACCAGTTTCTAGTAAAATATATAAATATATTCATAGTCCAGTGGCTATTTATTAAAAATAATGTACGCTTTAAAATTATATATATTATATATTTTCCCAAATAAATTGAGTGTTATTGATAATAGTACTATATTAATTTTTAAAATGAAAAACCTGAGGCTTTAGCAGTCATGACTTGAGCAAGATTAAATACCAATAAGTGGCAGGACTGAATTTGAAACAAGTTTTATTGTCTTGAAAGCCTGAATTCTAAACATCATCCTTGGCAGTTTTCTACTACATACACTTTGTATTTTGCTCTGCTTCAAAACATATGCATGAGTGAAAATCATTAGATAACTACAAACCAAAATGACTGTGAAGAACTGTTATCCATCTACTTGAGATACTACGAAAATTGGGTTTCCAAAAATCTATCTATTATCTATGTATCTATGTATCTGTGTATCTGTCTATCTATCTATCTATCTATCTATCTATCTATCTATCTATCTATCCATCTATCCAACCAGTAAGTGTTGTATCATCCCAAACAAAATACTTGAGTATCTAACAGCCTATGCAAAGTTTTCAGTTTTGAAATTTAGATTGTTTTCAATTACAGCAAGGGGATAAAACATCTTTACTTAGAATTCTAGAATGGGTCTAGTGATAAAAAACAGACAAAATTTTATAAATAGCTTAATATTTGGTAATTTTCCTGGAATAATTTTTAGGTTTAAAGTATTTTAGAAATTTATGTATTATGTGAAAAAAAATCTGAATTGAGCACAACTATTGCTTAATAAATTTAACAAAAGCAAAGCACATGCCATCTGTTTCATGATCACTCCTCTTACTATGCCATATGTCAACTCTCACTACCTCTTCAAGTATGGAAACTAAATTTTCTATTGATTGCTGCAAACCTCTTTTTGTGGCTTAGAGAGTTAGCTGATGCTCCACTGCCAACTGCATTCAGCTTTGAGGAGAATGGGAAACACTACCAACACTTGAGTCTGAATTTATACTCTATTTCAGTGAATCAAAAATATCACTCATTGACTCCTTGACTCAAAGTCTGTACACTACCTGCTGTTGCTTCCGAGTATCAGACAGATGAGCGGATGATCTCCCCTTGATTACTGTATTTGTTTTCCGATTGAGGCTAAATTAAAGTTTGACTCTATTGAGCACAGCTTTTGGCGGTAAATAGGGTACTAGCTGAAGACTTACTCCTTTACTGTCTTAGTCAAGAGGGGAACTGCTTGTCATTGCCCTCCAGCCCTCAAAGATCTGTGACTTATTATTATCTTGGAAAATTTCCCATAGTACAAGAAACCCTTCTTAGAGACAAGTCCTTCTCCCTGTTTCAAAGTTTGAGTTTTTTCTTTTTGCTCTATCATTGACTCAACAGATGAACCAATGACTCATCCATTTGCAACTCATGGCTGTCTTATAACTTCTTGTGTGAGTTGCCACTAGAATTTCATAATCAACAGATTTAAACATTTCAACTCGTGGAAGGATGTATTTTTCATCTTCCTAATTTCTCTAAATTTTGAATTTCCACCTAAATAGATTTGAAAACTTATCTTACTCTAAATTGTGTTATCTTTTACCCAAATCTGCTTGATTTTTTTCTTCATTTTGAGTGAATAACTACATTATTTATGATTTTCCCAGGACAGAATCCAAAACCTGAGAACTCACGAGTTTTACTCTGCATCATCTAAAGTCTATCAATCATTGAGCTCTGTGGATTGCATTCCTTCCACCTGGTTCCATTCTATAGTGTGCATCAATTTAAGCCTTTGACTTTATCCTATGCTACTGTAATAATGAGCTACATTCTGTAGCTAGTATCTCTGATCAGTATAATCTGGATATATGCTCTTCCCTTCAATATGACTTTGAGGGCCGGGAATGTAGCTCAGTGGAATTGCACCTGCCTGGCAAGCATGAGGTCCAGAGTTTGATTCTCATACACACAAAAACACAATATGACTGTGACATTTGCTTAGGTATAGTTATTTCTGAAGTTTTTTTTTTAATTAACTTCCACATTAGTCTTCTGGATTTGTTTAGTTATGTGATTTTTTTTTTTTTTTTGCATCCTCTAATTTCTAGCTTATTCTCAGCCTTGATTAGAGGATAACCTACTGCTCTGGTTAAGTTTAAATTTATTACCAGCAGCAGACAGATGCAGCTATTCAAGTCCAGCCCCTATTAACTAACTGCCTAGCATCAGTTTTATGTAACCTATCTATAGTTTAGGACTAGTTTCTAGTATATCATGATTACTTGTAACCATGACTTAGAAGTCTTGTATATGCTGATTATTTTCTAAAGAACATCAGTTCACAGTGTTTCTGTCCAAATCAGGCTGGTACCTCATGCAGTAGAAGACTGAAATCTCAGGAAAGGTGATACTGTAGTAAAGGAGAGTGCTTAGGAATTCCTGGCTTCTATGTTTACATCTCCAAAGAGCAGAGGAAACATTTACAACTCTAAGTGTTGCAAACTAAAATGTCTCAGGAAAGGAGGGACGTTTTGTCCAGAAAAAACTTGTCTAAACTTGTCAAAAACTTGTTTAAAACAAGGGGAACATTAAGACCAGCTTACTCTTTGAAATTCACTATACGTTCTATGTGGCTGATCAGGCCTATCATCTAACCAGTTTATATTTACTACTTATATTGATATTATACTAATAATATTATTTAACATAATATTTGTGAAAAAATAGTATCTTTTAATTTTACTGATGAAGATATGTGAAGCATAGAAGTTATATGCAAAAGCACCAAGCATTTCATTGGAAAAGTTAAAATGAAAGTTCCACACATTTTCACGTTGCCATGGTACTGAGTCATTATCTATTCATAAAGCATTTTTCATTCTCATGGTGATTCATTTGCAAATCTATACATGTTAAAAATTTTTGGAATCATCTTAGTAAGGCTTGATTCCTTTTGGTTTAACGTTGAGTTAATTCCATTTATACTCTGTGTAAATAATTAATTGCTCAGTGAGGTAACATAGGAATAAAAAATAGGTAGAAAGGAAACACGGGAATCATAACTAAAAGTTGTACTCTTAAGAAGACAACGACTTCTTTCAGAGCCAGCTGAAGTTACCCAAGGCGATCTCCATCCCTTGGCTTAGGCCCCTTCTCTACCAGATTCATCAATTTCTAATTTTCCTCAGGAATACTAAAAGTCCATAAATTGACCTAATTGAGAAAGTAAGAAGTAGGAGGCTGAACCTAAGATAAAGAAGTGGTTTGAGCAAACCCAAAGAATGTTTAAATTACCTTTTCAAGAACAAAAACAAAACAAAATCCCACCCATACCTGCAGAATGGGCTAGTATCCTTCTTGGGTGGGCCATCTGTCCCAGGCTTCCCATCTTGTCAAAAGAAGCATAAAGTTTCCTGTTCTAAACTGTAATGCATTTCTGAGCACCCACATCTCACTCTTGAGTGTGTCCTAAATCTCTGTCTAATAAATTTTCCCCATATCTCTTACTGACACATCATGAAAATGCTACCTCTGCAAGAACAGTGAGCAAACTTGCTACAAAAGAAGGTTAAATTATTCACTTCAAGTTTGGAAACCACTCAGACCTAACCAGGTGACGCTAACCTAGAAAATTATAAGTTTAAACAAGTAGATGGAATCTAAGACTTCAATGGAAGTGTCTCTTTGGTCTCATAAGAAAGAGAATGTGCACATTCTAATAAAAATTTTCATTTACATTGGATTTTTATGAATTTCTCTGTTATCAATTATCATTAGACTCTATAATCACAGTGTGAGAATTGTTAGTCAAAGAGTTAATATTTCCATTTTGTAGATGGGGATTCAGAAAGTTGGTGAAGTAGCATAGTTGGTAAGGTAGTTTGTACAGTATTTTCCAAGATAATGGTAGCAAGATATCCCATCCAACATGCTTTACTTACAAGGTGACACTGTTCCCATTAAGAGTTGAAAGAGCCTATGTTTCCTTGTTTGTGTACGTAAAGGCCCATGGCTATGGTGGTTTCGATGCTATATGACTTGAAATAATAGTTTATAAAATGTAATACCGTGTGTGCTTGATGATTGACTTTGGAACTCAGTCACTATGCTTTGAGGAAGTCCATGGCCAAGAGCCATGGTGGTATGGCCAAGAGCTAGTATGAATCTATAAAACGATGTTGGAAAATGCATTTTTATTATATTTTGTTTGTGCAAGTTAATATTGGATGATGATAGGTTTGCTTGGGGAGTTAGTACATGAATTTAGCTTACCTTCCCTTTCTTTGCTCTTTTTTCTCCCACCTCCACTTACTCATTTCTCCATCTCCAAAAGTCTGTCTTCTGATTTCCTGTCCTCTCTCCTTTATTTTCTTCATTTATTTATTAATTTATGTATTTTTACTTTCCTGTAAAAGAATGAATCCAATAAAAGCACGATCAAATGATCTCAATAGATACCTCTCAAAAGAAGTTCAAACGGCTAAAAGGTATATGTAAACATATTCTCGAGTCATCAGAAAAGTGCAAATTATTGTGACACTGAGGTTACATGTCACATCAGTCAAAATGGCTATTTGTAACAATACAAAAAACAAAACACAACAAATACTAGCAAGTATATGGCGGGGGAACTCTTCTATATTGCTGGTGGGAATGTAAACTAGTGCAGTTATTATGGTAATCAGTATGGAGTTTTCTCAAAAAACCAAACATTTGATACATTTTGAGGTTAAAAAAAAAATACCATTTGACCCAGCTATATCACTCTTGAGCACATTACTGAAAGAATTAAGGACTATATCCTACAGTAATGTATGCATACCCCTGCTTATTTCAGCACAATTCACAATAATGAAGCTATGGAAACAGCCTAGGTGCCTGTCAAAGGATGAGTGGAGCTTTAGAGAATAGGAAGAGGATGAAGAATTGGAGGGAGCAAGGAGGGAGGAGAGAGGTAGCGGATGAAAAAAAGAATTAGAATGTACCAGTTCCCCACAATGGATGTCACCAATATGTACTGTGAACACATACTAATAAAAAAAAAAAGATGAATGGCTATAGACAATGTGGTATATACACTTCATGGAATATTATTCATCCATAAGGAAAAATCATGTCATTTTCAGGGAAACGAATGGCACTATAAACAATCCTATTACGTGAAGTTTACCAGATTTAGAAAGTTAAATTCACAAGTTTCCTCTTACGTGAGAATAAACATTTGAAATGACTCTATCCAGCCACCTTCTAAGCAACTTTTTGAACAATTCTAAAAGAGCCCAAGTGACTCTCAGAACTGAGAATGAAGAAAATACAATGTCTTAAGCCCCTAAATACTGGTGATATATTTTGCAATAGCAAGTGGAAAAGCTATTGTAGTGAGTGGTGTAGCTGAGACTATAATGGAAGTTTTTCTAATTATGTGTCCCATTTGTGGCTTCTCCGCTGCACCTCCGTGCCTCCTTGATCTCCTTGATAGCTTACCTGCCCCTCTTCCTCCTCCTTATCTATTTTTTTTTTTTTTTTGTGTGTGTGTGGTACAGGGGATTAAACCTACAGCCTTTACACTAAGCTACATCTCCAGTTCTTTTTTATTTGCTTTTGTGTTTATCTATTTCTTTGTTTGTTTTTAGTGTGAAAAGGTCTTTCTAAGCAATTAAATTGCCCTGGTTGGGCTCAGTCTTGCGATCCTCCTTCCTTAGCCTCTCGGAGTGCTGCACTCACAGACCTGAGCCACCACGTTCAGCTAGCCTGCCAACATCTACAACGCAAAAGTGAAAAATTCAGGTGGGAGTTAAGAAGTGTGTTATCCTTTTCACAACTTTATAACCCAAGGTCAAATTCACTGATTTAATGAGTAAATGAGGAAAGAGCTAAAAATGTTTTCATCTAGTCTTCTGACCCTGGGGATCTTAACATTGAAAGGAAACATCGCTGGGTCCCTCTTACTTCCTCAGGTAAAACTTTCATGGGAAAATTAACTGAAAGCAACTCATATTTGCTTCTGAAACATTTCATTTATTTAGTAGCTTTGAAAAGATTCCAATTGCCCAGAAGACAGTTCTTAATTTTGCCTTCTACTAATTCCCACTTGCGTGCCTAGCAGAAACAACGAAAGTAACGTATGCTTAGCCATGTGAATATAGTGACGCTCTCAAGAGTATATGATTATTATTTTTATTTTAATTGCTTCAATCTGTTACTAATTAAACTATAAGGACCAGATCTAAAAAAAATCCCACTATAAATGGTATAGAATATTTATAGTCTTCTCATAAAAATGTCTAATAGTAATTCCTACAATTTACTATACAGTTCCTGTTGCATTTTAAAACCAAGAAGGCTTAATCATGCATGAGGTGTATTTTTAAACAATAACAAAAAGGAAGTAGTTCAAGGTTTAGTGGCATTTTGTATGAATAGCAATGGATAGTCCTATATTCTGCAAAAGTGTGTTCTGTGTCATGCTGGTGGAAATATGGGTTTTTCAGTGAGAGGCTTTCTTCCCCAACCCAATGAAACAGGAATGATTTATTTACACTGGAGTGCAACTATGCTAAAGAGAGGCTTGTATGGTGATCTCTGTGGCTAGTGAAAGAAATTATTCACATGCAATTGAACCACTTCCCCATTAAAGCTGTTCAATGCTCAAACAGGATTAATGCCTCACAGCTCCCTCTGGTGCACACCTTCCTCCGTGACCTGGGTCCCGTGTTTTCTGGAGCCCTATTAGCTCCTTACTCTCCCCTGCCCTGCTCTCTGTGCTAAGTGTGTGTTTGTTCATTCTTGGGCTTTGTGTGGACCACTGGCCCTCTAGTTGCAGACCACAGCTCTTGCTGATCTCCCTGCCTGTGATACATCTCTTTCAGTCACTCCGTTTTTATGCAAATGGTGCTTACTCAGTAAGACTTCCCTTGGCACAGCCTAAAATACCATGCTCCTGGCCCCTCCACACCATAACCTTTGTTTATACATTTCTGATTACTCACTTAACTTTACTAATTCTTTCATGTGACCATCACTTTATTGTGAGACTCCTTTGGCATGACTGCAATCTATACATGGGCAGAGACTTCTCAGTGTCTGCCTTCTCTGCTTCAGAACTCTGAGTCCCTGAGTCAGCAGAGATGCTCACGGCAGGGGTGTCTGTGAGTCTTATTCCTAACTCTCCCACCATTCTGAACATTTCTGCTTCTTTCATGCTGTTGCTTACTTCTTGTATTCTTAGCAGAGATAAAGATGTTGAATGCATAGACTTTGGGGGGCACTAATGTTAATGGGATGCGCTTGACAGAAAGTAAATTGAAAGTAATACAACACGGAAAGGTCACGTTATATAATAATGAAGACTGCAAGCTCTTGAGCTCAGATACCTGCCTTGAACCCTGACAGTGCCAGTTACTAAGGGTGTACCTTGAGTAGATTATTTACTTCATTTGAAGCTCTGTCTTTGAATCCCTGAAGTGAGGATAATAATAGTGTCTGCCACATAGGGGTTGTAATGATTAAATCAATCACTACATTGTTGCCAAAAGTAAAGCTTTTAGAAAATTGCATGGTGGTCAATAAATGTTAGGTTTTTTTTTTCCTTTTCAAGAAATCATTGCAATTTCCATACTAAAAAGATTTCATGGAGAATTTATCTAAATGGAAGAGAATTTAGAAGTCCTACTGCTAACAATAAGAATAGTTCATGTATATTTAATGTATGTCATGTTTTTTCACCAACTACTTTGATAAAATTGTCTGTATCACCTTATCCAATTTTCATAGCAGTAACTTGGAGAAAGTTACTATTAATATATTCATTTTAATATTGTAATGTTAGAAACACAGGCATTCAGCTAAAAATGGATAGAGTCAGCTTTTGCACCTCAGAGTTTGAGTTTAGTGTCCTTGTTTTTAACCATTAAGTTACATTATCATTATAAGCAAAGAAATAAACACTTATTTCACTGAATATAAATAATGGATATATGATATAACCTAGGTGTGAATTATTGCTTAATCTTTTTACATATGAGCAATTCAAATTCATATTAAATGAAAAATATTTAGCATTTATCTTCCCCTTTCTTGCAATTATATCATTTAAAATTTATATATGTAGGCTACCAGTAATATATTAAGAGAAGTATATTAAAATTATAATATTAAATTATTTTTTCAAGACAGAAAATTATAGAATCATAGAAAACTGTCTAAAACTCAATTGAATATTCAATAATTCCTATTTAATTTGTTATATAGTATCTCATATTATAAAACGAAGACAGGGTTGGATGTAGTTTAGAATTTCCAAATGTAATATTCAGTGCCTCATGTAGAGCAGGTCCTTTCAGCAGCAGGAATATTCTCTCTCTTGCTTAATCTCTCTTTACATCTTTGCACCTGTGGTTAAAGGCACACTTATGTAACACACTTAAGTATCCCTGTTTAGACTTAAATATAAAAGTTGTCATTATCATGTAAGAATGTGAATGGTTTGTACAGTGTAATGTATAAAAGGATTTGGTGGGTGATACAGTATATGTATAAAAAGTTCAATACCTTAAAGTCATGAAATTGTATCTCATTTTCTCAGTTGTCCTAGTGTAAGACAAGAGACTAATTTCTCTCTTTTTTTTAATAAAAAGGGAAAAACTAATGCTCTCTCTCTTGCTGGCCGGCAGCCTGAGGTAACAGGACACATCCCTTACCATGTCATTTACATTGAAATTGCTGATACTTGATCGTACGTATGTTGCCTCTGAGATTTTCAGCCTGACATCCATCTGCAGCATTCCTTGCTATTTTGGTTACCTACTATCTATAACCAACAATCCCCAAAAGCAGTGACTTCAAATGACAGTCACAGGCCTGTGATTCTCTAGTCAGAATTTTCAGCACAGAATTCTAGAAATAACTCACCATATTCCATAAGGGTAGGGAGGTCAGGTGTGACATCATTCCTTGCTTCTCGGTTCTAAGATTGAAATCACATATTTTATGTTTTTGTTTTACCAGCACCTCATTTCTGGCATCAACTTCTCTTACAGATTTCTATCAGCACATAACAAACTACCCTAAAATTTAGTAGCGGGAAAGAAGAAAAATTTTATTCCTTCACAATTTTGTAGGTCAGAATCTAAGTGAACAGTAGAGATTGTATCTGCCTTATAATGTCAATAGAATACACTGATGACAAGAATGTCTGAGGCTGATTAAAACAAGTAGAATGAGAACATGTGTCTGGAATCTTGCATATGGAAAACAGTTGAATTCTTTGATCTTTCTCCAATGACTTGTCCTATGAACAATTGGCTTTTTCAGAGTGGTGTCAGTGTTCCATGAGGTGACATTTCAAGGGCACGAAGTCCATGTCTAAGCATTTATCAAGCCCTCTTGCAGCATCCATTTCACCAGGAAAAGCTACATGACTAAGCTCAGAGTCATTATGAACACAAAACATTCAACAGTGTAAGTATCATTAAGTGTGATTGGAGAACATCAATGTGACCGTCTACTGTATTGTCTTGAAAAAGCACACAAAGCTCCATTAAATTGTACTTTCACCTTTTTGTTGGTGTTATAATTTGAAAGAGCCACTTCTTTTGAGGAGAAGGAACATGTTCTGAGTTGATCTTCACTAGACTCACCAATGCTCATTTAATATTGATTCAATAAGCTGAATGGATAAAACCCTTACACAACAATATTTTTAAGATGTGAGTACAAATTCAGTTTTGGAAGAGACTGTAAAGAGGAGTTCCCTGGTCACATCTAAAGGGTCTAATATTGATACCTGAACTGCTTTCTCTTCTACTTGTGTTCTTTACAATACAGCTTTCATCAAGAAACATTTTCCTTAAGAGCTGACAACTACCTCTCTACCTCTTGAACCTGTATAGGGATTGTGACTTGTTATGGGCAACTGAATACAGTGAAAGAGATATTTGAGTGTTTTCAGCAGTAGTTCCAAAGGTTTATCATGCTTCCATTATTCTTCCGGAATGCTGTCTCTGCTAGGAGAATAAGTTCATGTTAGCTCGCTAGGAGACTAAAGACCATAGGAAGAAAGACAAATCTCCCAGCTTTAGACATTAGACCATGACCTGTCAGGTGATGACAGAGAAATATTAGTGAGGTCAGAGAGTGAAACCTGGTCTAAATAAGCAGATTTTTAAAAAGCCCATAGATTCAAAGTTTTGTAGTAGTTTGTTATGAATCAATAATTAACCGATATAAACACCCTAAGAATTTACAGTACTTATACATATCGCAATAACTGAACAAAGAAATAAGCTACAAAACCAAATCAACAATTAAATGTATAATTTTTTTGGTGTTTTTTTATTTTAAAGAGAGTAGTACATGAGAAACAAAAAAATAGAACAGTAGCAGCATATCAGTATCACGAGCATAAACAAATCAAAGCAAAAACATTTAAAGTGATACAGGGTCTCAAGACAAATTAATACAAATCAACAGTGGTTGTTACATTGCATATTGCTATCCTCAAATACATTGCTCAGATTATCAGATGTAAGAATAAAAGATTGCTCAAACCATTAAAGAGAATAAGAAAATATTTCTTCAATAAAACATTAGAGATAATATAGAGTTTCACTAGACAAGATGGGAGGAGTTCACCATTGTAATTCCATTGTATATATTTTTTTATTTTAAAAATAAAAGGAGGAAAACATTAACAGACAGACAACCTTTTGCAAAATAGCAAAAGAACAGTACAGACAATAGAGTTACAAACAGAGTGGTAGGAAATTAACAATGCTTGTTGTATTACATATTGATATCTTCAAAGTGATTTCTCATGAACACAGATAGAGACATGCAATATTGATCAGTCAAGGACTCATTGACCGTTTCAACAAAGAAATAGAAGACAGTAGAACAACTATGTTAACTATCCTGTATATACATACATATAAAATTTCACCTTCTTTCCCTTCTCTTTTCCCACATCCCAGTTGCCCTTTACCCTTGAGTGTTTTCCTGTCATTTCACAACGTCTATCATACCTCCTAGTTTAAATTAACTCTTTCAGGTTTTACACTAGTGAAATAATGCAGTGCATCATTCTATATAGCCAAATTTCTCCAAAATTATGTGGCTACAGGACTTCATAAATCTCTTCTTATATTCTTTACTTTTAAAACTTAAGGTTTTAACTTCTGCCCTTGTTCTATAATGTAGCACACACAGGAAACTTACATGAATTCAGCAATTACACAATAATTAAAGGTTAGTTTCCTAGGAAATATAAGTGGAGACTACTTCGTTATTTCTTCATGCCTTGAAATAATGTTAATTTGTTTGAATTTGGTTTATGGCATATATTTTCTTCAAATATATTCATATATTTTCTTTAAATACATTCTGTCCTTATAACAAAGCGTCCTCCATCTTCAGAATTTCAGTACAAAAATTTGCAAAAGGCCATTTTATGGCAGACATATTTGAGAATTTATTCACAGTGATGGATATACATAACTGTTCAGTGGGAGATGACATGTATTAATACTGAATTATGCATGCTAAAAGTTTTCAAAGTGTTTCACACAACTACAGTAACAAAAGACCCTGCAAAGGAAACAGAATATCACTTTACATATCAGTTGAATATTAAAAAATAATTTCAGTTTTCTTCTAATATGAAAAGTATGATTGTTATACCTTGTGGGTCCACAAGGGATACCTTTGGAGATAAAATTTTGGCACTTTCATTCATAGTTTCTAGGGTAAAACATGTGAAAAAATATGTTTTCTTAAATTTAAAGAACTTTAAGTCATTAATATTAAGTTGAATTTTACACAGAAATTTAAAAATAGTTTTATTATTGCAGGCTATCATTAAATTGTTGTATCTGTGATCTCTGGGGAAAGTTATTAGATTTTTATAGATTGAAGATTTAAGTTCTTTTTTTATTATTCTCTTTAAAATAAAAAAAACCTTTGATTTTGCAATTTTGTACAGTTGTAAAATTTGTGTGTAGATCAAAACTTAGGATTAAATTAATTTAACAAGAAATGTTTA